AGTCAGTGAAGCCTTAGAGCTGAGCAGTGGCCCTGAAATCACTGCGGGGTGATGAGATGTTAGGGGGGAAAAAAACCAAATCTCTCAACACCCTGCCAAAACATCATCCGCTGCGGTCGCCTTGGAGAACAGCAGCTCACCAAGGGTTGATTTAGCGAAGCAGCTGGAGGTTTTAGCTTCATTTTTGGAGGCCTCTGTGTCTTTAGGTCCTCCTGTGGTGTCCCCTGCAAGGTGGCAATGGGAACACCCCCAGGACAAGGGGTCTTGCATTTTCCTGCTGCCGCAGGTACCCAGGGGCTCTTGGGTGCAGCTGCCTCTGCACATCCATCCTCACTTGCAGGATCCTTCCCTGCTCATTCCCTATTGTAGCCAGACTTGGTGAAGAGGCTCCTATGAGCGCTGAGCTGATGGTGGTTGAGGGTTGCTGGGAAAGGGGAAGGATGTGGCCCTATGGTTAACGGGCTGCCTCCTCGGGTATCACGTTGGAGCGGTGCTGCTGGGCCTTGGACATGCTCAATGGCCTCGGGAAGCCTTGGAGCTCCTCTCTGTGCTCACCAGCTCTTCTTCCAGATACCCTCCCAGCAGGGATGGGGACAGGGATGTATGCGATGGGATGACGGGGTCTGTTGTGAATCCAGCCTATTTTCCAGCTTGGTTATAGCAGGCCAGCATACCCCTAGAAATACATCTGTCTTGAGGGTTTTGCACAGTTCCTCGGTCCCGACCACAGAGGAGTCCCACGATACCAGCTGGAGGGGGCAGCTGCATGCAACAGAGCAAGTTTAGGCAGAGAACTCGTCCTGGTTGCCACCAACAACCTCTCCAAGCAAATAGGGTGGAAGCCAGAGGCTGTGGAGGAGGAGCGTGTCCCTGATGATGTATTTTCTGGCTATCAGCTGAATTGAGGGAGGAGAAAAGGCAGATAAGGCCCCTGTTTCCAGAAGGGCTGTAGGCCAGAAAGGGCCTCCCGAAGCTGTTTGCACTTTTCTACTTGTTGGCTTAAAACACACATAGTAATTTCTTGCCTCAGGCAGCCTGAGCTCACATCCCAAATAGCAGCCCGTGTCCCAGGCTGAGGATTTCCCCTGGGAGCCGTAAGGTTGCAGAGCTGGAGTTGCAGGCTTCTCCCTGCCCCAGGAATAGGAAGCTGGAGCACTTGGTTGTGCTGGAGGACCAGGCTCGTGCCTTTGACTGGAGGAAAGGCTGCGTTTGGGTTTGTGGGGTGCCCTCCAGGAGACTTTGCATGCAGTAAGATTTGGGCTTTCTTCTTCAAGAAGGGACCCAGAGGCTTAAGAAACACTTTGGTGGGAGCAGAGGAGCATCTGCTGCCCAGCTGGGATGTGGTGCCACACATCCCCACCACGTTGGGCCGGGAGGGAAATGCTCCCATATTTATCTTGGAGAAAGCCACGGGCAGGACCAGGCACAGGGTGGGACAAGCCCTGTCTGTTCAAGCTGTGATAAGGGGGAAGGAGCTGGGAGGCTTTCTAGGAAACAAGGGACGGGGCTGGAGGTTCACAGTGACTTCAGCTTGGGATTTTCCTGCCGCGATGGACGTGTGACAGCTTCTCCCGCAGCTTGCTGGCTGCCTCGCTCTTTCACTCCTTTTTTGGTCCTCCTTTTCCCTGTCCAGCTCCATCCGGCAGGAAGCTGGAGAGCTGGAGATAAGCTTGACTGCTTCACAGACAGGAACCAAACTTCATTTCATGCAACGGGCTCAGCCCTGCTAGGAATGTTCCTTACAGCAAGGTTTTTAAGACTGCATATTGAGAAATAGGCAGGGCAAACTTAGCTTTTCATTCCCTGAGGATTAGAAACCCCCCAAACGTCTCAAGCTTTGCCCTGGTGGCATTCACTTCCTGTCTCACAATCCTCTGGCACCATGAAGGACCTGGTGGCCCTGCCTGTTAACTGTGCTGGAAACCCATCCTGAGGCTACTGCTACTAGGAACCAGAATGGTTTTCCCTGTAGAAAACTGGTCTGCCTCTTCTCCTCCACCCCATCACCAAGTTGGTTGGTGCCTGGTCCCCTTGGTTGCTGACTCTGTCCCTCTGCTGCAGGTCTTGGCCCAAGGATCTCCTCGCTGTGACCTGCTCAGCAACCTGCTCCAGAACGGGTGCGGGCGCAACCACATCGAGTTCCCGACCAGCAGCGTAAAGATCCTGGAGGACCGGCCCCTCAGTGACAAGGGCTCGGGGACCTCCACCACCACCCAGATGAGCCCCCAGAAAATAGAGCTGCACCTGCGGCCGGGTAAGGGTCCCAGTGCTGATGGGGTCGAGACAATCCCTTTGAAAAGGTTTGGGCTCTTTGAGTGTTTTAGTGAAAGTCAGCTCGTGCCTAGCAAGCCGCAAACTGGCCTGGTAGGTTTGAACTGCCGCCAGGTCCCCTTTTTCACCCAGACAGGATGAAGCCAATTAACTGTTATGGTTGTTTGCAATCTTGCACCACCTCCCCTCGCTTCCTTGAACGCTCAGGAGTTTAAAGTGACACTGGGCACAAGGCGAGACTGAGAGTGCCAGGTGCCCAAGGTCACAAAACCGGTTTGTGGAAAGCAGAGTGAAACGGTGCTATAGCCATGGACATGGACCATGCCCTGCCCTGGTGTGCTGCTCATCATGCATTCTCCTTAAAGGTGATCTGCCCTGGTGGTGATGTAAAATGAGCCAGAAGATTGGAAAAACTTGAATTGCTCAACCTGGCACAGCTGTATGTAAACCCAGGAGCGTTTCCCCCTGCTTTGGAGGGAGGAAAGCCAGAGAGGGATAGATGGAATCAGCAATCTCTCATGAGTCCCCTTCTGTCCCCATCACTGTGATAGCTAAGCACCTCCTAGGGATGTAACTAGCCTCTGTCACACATGATTCGGTCTCTTCCTCCTCTTTGAGACTTCAAAGCTCTTCTCTCACAAGAGTTTTTGCTCATAGTTTCCAGACATGGCTGGTAGCTCCTTTGGATGCAGTCCCTGGGATGATTCAGTAGCCAGTGGGGTCCTTGGGTGCCTTCCAGTCTCAGCAGAAACAGGTTTCAGCTCTGTGCTCACTAAAACCCTGGGGCCAGAGTTCAGTGGTTGATAGCACATAGCTCTGTTCCTATCCCTGGGCCTGGCCAGGGAATGTCCTGAATAATGGCAGTCTGGCACGTCCCCTCCTCTGCAAAGTGTGAGGACATAAGTAGTAACTTCTTGAGCAGGACTTCTAAGTAGTCCTTGCTGCCTTAGGTCAAAAAGATCTTTAGCAAGAGGCAGGCACATGCATTGCTCTGGAGATGAACTGAGGAATGCAGGACCCTTTCTGTGGAAGCAGTAGATAAAAGCCCTGACTCGATACCATCTCTGCCCTACCAAGAAGGCTTGGTGTGCATTATGTTCATGGACTTGTGAATCAAAATACTGAAGAATATAGCCGCAACAGGTCATAGTCCCTAATCCGTGGCCTCAGTGAGTCCATGGGGTTTTAGCTCAGCAAGGAAAATGGACACTTCATGAAGAAAAAGTCCAGATTCCCAAGATACTTGGTGGTGCTCTGGCCATGCAGCTGGCCTTAGGACAGCTGGATAGGGGATGGAGCTCTTTGGTGTCTCCTTGATCTTGGAGACACTTTCACCATCCTGAAAATCAAGATCTCAGATGGGCAAATTAAAAAGAGGGGTGGGAGGAGAATGAAAATAATTAGGGGTCAGTTAAAGTTTCAAGATCTCAGATGGGCAAATTAAAAATTAGAGAGAGGGATGGGAGGAGAATGGGAATAATTAGCGGTCAGTTAAAGATTTTTTTTCTCCAAACTTGGTGCTCTGAAAAGACTGCAGCTGGGCTCTAGCTTACACTTCAAAGTAGCTGCTTCAAAGGACAGCAAGAAAGAACCTTTGTCTTGTTTAAAATGCAGAAATAAAAGGACAACCCTAAGTGTTCTCAGCCTTTTTTTTTCAAAGAGTAGAAGTCACAAACTGGCCTGCTCTCCCCAGAAGTGTGCTGGTCCTGTCTAAGGAGCTTTTTGTTTCAATGGAGAAAAAAAAATGCTTTACCAAAAACCTTTTCAGTGGAGTCTGGGAGGAACCAAGAGGAGTGAGGTCAAGGGCTGAGATGAAAGGCCCTGAGAGGTGTCCTAAAGTTTCAGGAGCCCAGAGAAGCCTCAAGCAGCAGGAGAGCTCATCCTAAAGTTTCAGGAGCCCAGAGAAGCAGCAGGAGAGTTCGCTGTGATGAGCCCTCTTTGCTCCTCTCAGTGGAGAATCTCTCACTCCACTGCCATGTTGCATTACAGATGACTCCCAGATCTTCCGTGTCCAAGTACGCCAAGTGGAAGACTATCCCGTGGACATCTACTACCTGATGGACCTGTCAAACTCCATGAAGGACGACCTGAGGAACATCCAAAACCTGGGCACCAAGCTGGCCAGTGAGATGCGCAAGCTAACCAGCAACCTACGCATCGGTTTCGGGGCCTTTGTGGACAAGCCCATTTCTCCCTACATGTATATATCTCCTCCACAAGCCATCACAAATCCTTGCTATGAGTAAGTCCCAACCTGCTGTATTGGCTATCAACATCTAGAGAGGCCTGTAAAAGCCAGAGGTTGATAGGATGCCCCTGGGCTGTGACTACATTTTTATTTTGGCTTTATGTTACATTGGGAGATACTAGACATGTAGTTGTAGTGATGTAGAGATGCAGAGATGTAGTGGAGCACTAATCTGCTGAGGACTTGGCCCTTTGCATCCAAAAGAGCATACGGTAGGATTCCTGGGTTCTGCTCCTGGCTCTGATGCAAACAAGTCCTCACCATTCGTCAGGAAAGATGCTGAGGCTCAAATACAGTAAAGGGCTTCTAAATATCCCATAACATCCCATTCCCATCCACTGTACTGGCCATGGGAATTGGAATTCCCAGAAAGACAAGGCTGAGAGACACAACTCCCATAGTCAGGTTCTCCAGAGCTTGTCTGCCAGAGCCTCAAGTCATCGCATTGAAGCAGGGGCTGCTGATAAGAACCCAGTGTCACTGCCGGGGGAATGGGTCCATAGCGGGGCAAGGGCAGAACTCAAGGTGGGTTGAGGTGACCCAATTCCCCTTCCTCATTAGGTTATTTAAGATCTGGACCAGAGCAAGAGTTGACAGCAGAGTCAATGTCCTGTTTCTCAGGCCTGCTGAGAACAAGAATAGGGAGCTACTGTGCTGCTTGAACTAGGAGGAGGGATCCTATGGAAAACCATAGGATGGGAGCCTGGGTGGGAGCTGGAAATGCCCAGCAAGCCTCGAGCCCAGGGCCCCGACTGCTCTGCTCCCCAGGATTGGTGAGACCTGCCTGCCCATGTTTGGCTACAAACACGTCCTGGCGCTCACGGATGAGGTGACCCGCTTCAACGAGGAGGTGCAGAAGCAGAGCGTCTCGCGGAATCGTGATGCGCCCGAGGGCGGCTTCGATGCCATCATCCAAGCCACTGTCTGCGATGTAAGAACATCTGGCCAGGGCAGGGAGAGGGTAATTGGGCTGGCTTGATGGATCAGCCGCCCAACTCTGCCAGGACAGCATCTCTCTGGACCGTAAGCCTTGTGAAGCTGCAGCAGGGCTGAAAATCAGGCTAGGGTGACCAGTGAACAAGGACTTTCCCAGACTGAGAGCCAAGGCAAGGGAAGAACCAGGCCCTGATGTGGTCCGAGGAGCAGAGAGGGACTGTCAGAGGTTGATGGGATGGTCTTTTATGAGCTCTGGAGTAACCAGTCCTGAAGGGAAGTCTTCTCCTGTGCCCCTGACTCATGCTGGAGGCAGATTTTAATTTACTAAAGAGTTACTCAAGATAGTTAATGACCGAAGGACCCAAGCTCCTGTCTTTGGCCTTCAGAAGCAACTCAGGCTCACTTGCCAACCCAAATACACACCACAGCACTTTACTGGGGGAGTAATTGCCTTTGATTCCCTCTGCAGTCACAGGTTGGAGGGCTTGCATGGCCAGCAGGTGACCTGAGGTGGCAGCAAGGGGAGCAGCTGAGGTGGTGGTGGGTCATGCTGACACAGCACTGGGAGCTGCCTGTGTCCTCCCTGCAGGAGAAAATTGGCTGGAGAAACGATGCTTCCCACCTGCTGGTCTTCACCACGGATGCCAAGACCCACATTGCGCTGGACGGGCGCCTGGCAGGCATCGTGCAGCCCAATGACGCCCAGTGCCACATTGACGAGGACAACTTCTACTCGGCTTCCACCACACAGGTAAGTCAGGGTCTACATGCGGGCTGCAGGTGGAAACCTCTCCATGCCATAGGTGTATGTATGAAACATCTGAATGAAACGGGTGTTTCGTCCATTTTAAAACAATTAGAGGAGATTTTGCAGGAGCATGGCACCAGCTAAGCATGCGTGTGTGACTTCCAATGTTGTGACTCTTGCAAGTGTTGAACATTCTCTGCATTGCCCCGCGGAGCAGCACCTGGCTCTTAGCAGGGAGACGCTGCACCTCCGATGTGATCAGACCAGCTTTAGGGAGACCAGAGTCCTGCTCAAGATCATGGACCTGTCTTGCAGTGGAGACCAGAGAGGTTAAGGATATGCAATCCCAAGTTATTCCTCCCTGCTCTCCCTAGGACTACCCCTCGCTGGGCCTGATGACTGAGAAACTCTCACAGAAGAACATCAACTTGATCTTTGCCGTGACGGATACTGTGGTTGGCCTCTACCAGGTAACAGCTGCTGTGCAAACAAGGCCTCTTGGCAAGGTGGCTGCTGGAGTCCCAAGGAGCAGCCTCTCCAGCAGCCTGGGCATTGCCTGCAGCTCCATATCCTTGCAGCCACGCGAGGAGCCAGCCCGTGGCCTGTGAGGGGCCCAGCTTGGTCTGGGAAGCTCTTTCATGCCCAGGCCAGCTGTGCTGTGTTGACTCATCGCAAGCAGCCTGTGCCTCTGTTTTCTCACCAGAACTACAGTGAGCTCATCCCGGGTACAACAGTGGGGACCTTGTCCAGAGACTCCAGTAACGTCCTGCAACTCATCGTGGACTCTTACGGGGTGAGTGCATGGGGCCACCCCATCTCTCTGGGGACTGCAGTCCTGAAGAGAGGTGAGCGGGGCCACCTCCTCCTTGCAGCAGAGCAGCTGCTTGCAGGACACACAGAGCCTTGCCTTGGACTTCCCCACCCCTGTCCCTTCTCGTCCCCAAAGGCTTTTCCTCCCGTGTCCTACCTGTCACCATCCTGTGGGACCGAGCCCTGCCCGCCCTGTACTATTGGCTCCATCACTTTCTCTTCCATCCCTTGACAGAAAATCCGCTCCAAGGTGGAGCTGGAGGTGCGGGACCTCCCTGAAGAGTTGTCCCTGTCTTTCAATGCCACCTGCCTCAACGACGAGGTCATCCCCGGGCTCAAGTCGTGCATGGGGCTCAAGATTGGGGACACGGTGAGACCCCCGTTTGCGTTTTCGGTCTTCCTCCCCCTCCCCCTCTTCCTCAGTCTTCCTTGGTGTTGCTCTGAGCTGCAGCACTCGGAGCGGGGAGCGCGGTCCTGGGCTCGTGGCCTGTCCGTCCCTGTGTTGACACCCGGGCGCTCTTCCAGGTGAGCTTCAGCACAGAGGCCAAGGTGCGGGGCTGCCCGCAGGAGCCGCAGAAGTCCGAGTGCGGCGTGTTCCGCTGCAAGGGTGGGCGCCTGGGCTCGCGCTGCGAGTGCTCCGAGGAGGAGTACAGCCCCGCGCAGCAGGACCGCTGCAGCCCCCGCGAGGGCCAGCCCGCGTGCAGCCAGCGCGGCGAGTGCGTGTGCGGGCAGTGCGTGTGCCACAGCAGCGACTTCGGCAAGGTCACGGGCAAGTACTGCGAGTGCGACGACTTCTCCTGCGTCCGCTTCAAGGGACAGATGTGCTCAGGTGAGCGGCGCGCGGCGCTGGCGAGGGGAGCCGCTCGGGGAGCGTGTGGGAGCCTGCGGCATCTGCTGCTGCCCAAGGCCACCAAGGACGGGGATCCCACGTGGTTTGGAGAGTGCTCCTCATGTCACGGGGAGAAATACGGCAGGGATGCCTCTGCATTGCCCTTCCTGTCCCCTGGATGCGGGGTGGCTGGGGTGATTGGGACAGCTACTGCTTTTCCCTTTCCCTGTGTGATATAGGTGTTTCTCAGCCTGCGCCGGGGGGACACTGGGGTCCCCTAGGCCAAGCCTGAGACAGGTCCTTTTTGGCTTGAGTCCCCTCAACACCAACAGAGGACCTGGATGGAGAGCAGGGCTACCCCCATCACGGGCTCCATGCAGCCCTGGAACCGCCAAGCACCTGCAGGAAGGGGCAGAAACGGCCCCGTTCCTGGCACCTTGTTCCAGTTTTGCTCTGCCTGTGCCCAAAATTGACAGCAGGGTGACAGGCTCCCGGGGTTGGAGAGGGGCCTTGCTCCCTGCTTAGGCTCCAAGCCAAGCGCTTCCACAGCCCAGATGAAGCTGAGATAATGCTCTGCAAAAGGAAACCCAGGGGCGGCTGAGAGGAGGGTGGGGAGGGAGACCTCGGATTTACAGGAGATTACGTGCAAATTTTTCCCTCCACCCAGTTCTTAAAGTACTCCCTGTTGGAAAAAAGCAACAGGGAAGCAATAGGGCCTGATCGACCCCTCCAATGACTGAATATTCATCTCCTCGATTTGCTATCGGCTCCCAGCGCCAGCCCTGGCTCTCGCCAGCCCTTCGCTCCCGCAGTGGGGCTGCTCTGCCCTGGGTGCCCTCGCAGGACACCCGGTTTGGCGAGTCCTCCTGTGCCAGGACCCCTTCCCCATGCCCTGCGTGGTCCCGGGTGACGGTGGGAGGTGAGAGCAGCCCAGAGCGGGGACGGCAGCGCCGGAGCTCGCAGCGCGTCACCGTCCCGGGCCAGCGCTCCCCGGGGCTCGGCTGAGCTCAGAGCCTGCGGTGCCAAGCGGGACGCCCTCCCCTTCCCGCCCTGCGCTGATTCAGCTCCTCAGAGCAGCACTACGGCCTGGAATTTTTTTATTTTTCCCCCCTTGCAGCTGGGTTAGTTTTTGTCAGTTCTGTTTCCCCATGAACTTGGCAGTACCAGGGGATCTACAGGATGGGGTGGCCAGAGCCAAGTGGTTGGGTCCGAGCCGCCTGTTCTGGCAGCTTATTTAGCCCTAAGGAACAGGGTAGAGAGGGGACTGTCGGTCCCCATCCTCCCTCCAGGAGCCCAGGAGAGGCCCAGACCCAAAAGGCCTGTCCTGTAAGGCCAAAAACCTTCAGGACATTCATGTGCCTGGCACTGACTGGGTGCATTAGCCATGGGTCACCCCTTATCTTAACAGCGGGCTGATAAGGGAGGAGAAAACACTGTCATTTTTCACCCCTATGGGTCAGTGCCCAACCTCTGCCCCGGGGTGTCCAGGCGGCTGTCCTGGGTCTGGGTCCCACAGCACTGGCCCCTTGTGCAGCAGCTCCGCAGGGCCCCAAGAGGGGTGATTGGGTCGCTGCCACCACGGGCTGCTAATTAACCAGCTCGTTATTGCTGGCGCTGGGAAGTCAAGCGTTTCCCAGGGCCGACTCCTGCAAAGCCAAGCTTGGCTCGCGTCGCTCTCCGCCTGCGCCCGCTCAGCACTGCCTGACCCCGTGTCATCCACCGCGTCACCTCCTCCGCCGCCTGTGTGTTTCCGTGCCCTGTCACCCGGCTCGGTGCTGTTTTTCCTGTGACTCAACCCTAGTTCCTCATTAACCAGGTTACACATTTATTTCTCAGCCTGGTGCCGCAGAGCAGGGGGGATGAGCGCGGCCGATGCCCCTGTGTGCTCAGGGCTCGGCGTGTGCTGGCTCGCAGCAACTTGGCAGCGTTTCCACCAGCTGGTCTTGCCTTTGCTGGATGCTTTCGAGTCAAAAATCAAACCGCAATCCAAACAGCTCCAGGCTTTGGCAGGGGTTTTCTGTGTCTGCCTGTCTGCGCTTTTTGCGATCAAACAAGCAGGAGCAGGCAGAGCTGGTCAGGCTATTCCCGGCAGGCAGCTTTCCAGGAGTAGTTCAGGGCTGGGATGCGAGTCTTAGGCAGGATGCCCCAACTTAATCTGAAACCGAAAACAAAAGCTCCAATTTGATCAGCTCCGAGATGCGTCTGATCAGGGATCTGTAGCTTTTGCCCCCAGAGCCAAGGCAGCTCGGCCTGAAACTTGATTGTGTTTCTTATTTGGATGGCAGAAGGGCATCACAGGTGGGAGAAGGGTAACGGAGTGGGGGACGTGGCAGGCAAAGGGATGGGAGCGGGATCGGCGAGGAGCAGGCAGAGCCCCGCACAGCCGTTCGGTCCCGGCTCAGCCCGAGCTTTGGAGGGTGCTCGAGGGCTGATGTGTCCCGGTGCTCCCCAGGCCACGGGCAGTGCAGCTGCGGGGACTGTCTGTGCGACCCGGACTGGACCGGCGACTACTGCAACTGCACCACGCGCACCGACACCTGCATGTCCAGCAACGGGCTGGTGTGCAGCGGCCACGGCTCCTGCGTCTGCGGCAAGTGCGACTGCACCCAGCCCGGCTCCTACGGGGACACCTGCGAGAAGTGTCCCACGTGCCCCGACGCCTGCACCATCAAAAAGTGAGCAACGCTCCGAGCGGGGAGGGCTGCTGGCGGCGTCTTTGCTCGCTGGTTGTGTCACCGCAGCTGCTCGGTTGGGCTGGGAGCTTCCGTGGGAGGCCAAGTGATGGCAATGGGGTATCTTGGCTGTAGAAATGGGGCTCTGCGATTGTGGGTGGCTTCCCTGTCGCTGCCAGCATCTCTGGTGCTCTGGGAGCACGGGGTGGTCCAGGGAGCCCGGTGAGAGCTCAGAGAGCTTCCCTTTGGCTTCCTGTTCCTCAGGGATTGTGTGGAGTGCAAGAAGTTCGAGCGGGGCGACTTTGTGGAGCAGCAGTCCTGCAGCCGCATGTGCCGCGACGAGATCGAGACGGTGCAGGAGCTCGGTGAGAGAGGGGACGAGGAACCTGGCAGGGCTGGAGCGCCGCAGGCAGGACCGGACACACGCGACCTTGCCCCAAATCGTGGAAAACGGGGGGCTGCAAATGCTGTGCCAGGGCCGGTCCTTGTCCCTGCGCGCGCTTCGCCCGTGCCCGGCGCTGACGGCCTCCCGCGTCTGCAGGCGACAGGGGCAAGGACGCCGTGAACTGCACGTACAAGGACGAGAACGACTGCGTGGTGAGGTTCCAGTACTACGAGGACTCCAGGGGCAAGTCCATCCTGTCCGTCGTGGCGTGTGCCCCCGGGCGGGGGGTGGGGGGGGGGCGGGGAGCCCCTCCGGGCAGCCCCAAGGTCCTGCTGCCTCCGGGCAGCTCCGGCGCTCCGGGTCCGGCCCGTTCGGAGCAGGAAGAGCCGCCCCTGGCAGCAGCCCAGCAGGGAGGTGCCGGAGCCGTGTGGGTGTTCCCCGCTTCCCCGTCTTCCGTAAACTATCCCAGTGCCACTTGGGAGAGCCGGAGGGACGGCCACCTGCTTCCTCTGGGCATGCGTCCACCTGGGACACCCCCCTGATGCCGCCGCCCCGCGGCAGCCAGCGCCGCAGGCCTGGGCTCTCTGGACCCACATCCGTGGGTGCTGCCCAGCTCCCCCTGTGTCCCTTTGCTCCCAGGGCTTTCCAAAGCAGAGTGCTGCTCCCCGTCCCGGCAGGGCACAGAGCTGGGGGGCTGCACAGGGGTTGCAAGAGCCACGCTGCTCCTTGCTCCACACCATCCAGGGCTGCAGTTCCCTGCGCTCCCTCCTTCCACAGCCGGATGCTCCTGAGATGTCCTCAGAGGCTCTCATTCG